TTCTCATGAACTAATTTTAGTTCCGGCTCTTTTTGGTGTGAACGCGACATTTCGGAACTATATCGGAACTAAAGTGGGAAAAGTACTCCGGTGTGAACGCGGCTATGGAGACATGTCCCAGTAAAGGAACTAAATACAAACATGAACTTGAACAAAAAAGTTCATATTTAAAAAATAAAAATATGAATGAGCATTATCTTTCCTCTTTAATATTTTACAAGAACAAGTGTGTCTTCTCAAATATAACTTTGTTGTGGCCATAATTATGCTTATTGACACTTTGCCTTTTCCTTTGTTTCTCTTCTCATTGTCTCTCTCTTCTCCTCTCCATATGGGATGTATAGATGGCAGAGATCCACATGGTGTACGTCAGCGCTTTGCTCCTGGCCTTCTTTTCACAGTTTCAGAACGCAGGCCTCCTCAGCTCGCCGCTGGTCAGCCTCCTGATTGGCACATGGGTTGCCAGGAACTACCAGGTAGAGTTAGCTGCTCCTTCACATCAGAACAAAAGAAAACTGAGAAAGATTTTCTTTTGTATTCGCCAAGCTGCAGTTGAAACAGGTGAGTAACACCATCTCAATGCTTTGTTCTGCTTTTTGCAGCAAAAGATGAAGACGGGCCCTTTTCTGTCCAGAGTGATGAAGCTCTTCGTATATTTCCACCTAGTCTTTACCACAGGGATCACCTTCAGTTATCTGGTCAAGGTAAAATCAACCACAATATCATGTAATTGATCCATTTCAACTCAAATAGCATTCTTTTTTATACATACTTTTTAGTGATTATCTTTGATTGTATAAAACTGTTGGTTTATCACCATTGTTTATCTTATACAGAAAGTCGTTCAAGGAGATGAGAGTGACTTCTTCTTGAAATTCCTTGAAGTCAAATTTGGGCTCAACACAACGACGTGAGTCACAGCTCTTACATGAAATGTTACAATATAGGCTTACACAAAGCTCTGTCTATCCATATTTAGGTTTGTTTCCTGTCAGTATAATCGTATCCAATGTAATCTAATTGCAATATTTTCTTTTCCTTCTTTGTCAGTGACTTTATCACCAATTTCCTCCTGTGCCAAGAGAGTTTCCAGGTCCCGGGTCAGGACTTATTTCTGCGCCTGACGCAGGCCTCAGTCCTTCCCTTCTACTTACTGGTGCTCACTGTGTGCCTGCTGTCCACCCTTCAGACCATTTACAGGAGACTCAGGTTAGAGATTTGTACAGAAACACTGTGCATGAGGCTCATCATGGGTGTATTTAAAAAAATTACATTTACAGAGCTGCTGATCAAAATGAATACCAGCTACACATTCCTGACCCGCCAGCTCATAGCGTATTCAGGATTATAAAAATGATTTCAACAATAATGTAGCTCGGGTTAGAACCTATCCGTAATCATGACACCCACTGCCCATTATTGCTTATTATTTGTGTACTTAAGACTTTGCTATATATTTTTTTCTGTGTACTTAAGTTTGTTTCATTTGTTCGTTTCAATGTTTTTTGTGTTTTTTTATTATTTTATTCACAGAATTTCAGAAATGTAAACTGCAACGTGTAATTTGAATGATTTATTAATGAGCTGAACACAAGCAGTAGGTGCAGATTATCGGACACTAATTCTACAAATGTCAATGTTTCTGTACAACATTACATTTAATACAGTGGGCTGCCGATGAAAACCAACCTCAAACTTGAAGATGGGCGAATAGGAGAGCAGCCCGAGGTCATCTATCATGTTTTTCACACGTTGATTTTTGGAGGCCTGGCTCTTCTGTTTGATGGGTATGTTGATCATTTGGAATCCTAACATGTTTCTTAAAATATATCATTGTTAAATTGTAATGACACAACAGCACATTGACTGTTTGTCTTTCACTCAGGATGAAATATTTATGGACCCCGTACGTCTGCATGTTCACAGCGTTCGGTGTGTGTTCTCCGGAACTCTGGATGACTGTGTTTAGGTGGCTCAAACTCAAGTCCATCCACCCTGTAGTTCTGGTGAGCCTTTTTTAGTTTTAACAGCAACCTTTCTTAGTAATATTATTATTATTATTATTTTGGATTTTCTCCTGCTAAATACCCTCAAAAGGGCGTTTAAGTTGCATCAATAACTTGCCACATTGTGTTGCTTCCTTTAAGGTATTATTATAAGTTGTTAATGGTTGCTTATGCCCTCTAGTCTCTCATCCTGAGCACAGCGGTTCCTACCATCATTGGTTTCAGTTTGTGGAGAGAGGTGAGATTTTCAGCTTTTTTAAGCTCTTTATTAAGCGTCTTTGAGCATTAGGAAAAGCGCTATAAAAATCTCATGTATTATTATTTATGTCAAATATTTAAAGAAGCATACATGGCCTTACACTGCTCTTTCTCCTTTCTGCAGTACTGCCCTCGTGTCTTAGCAGAGCTGTCAGAAGTGCAGGAGTTTTACGATCCAGATAAAGTGGAGCTGATCAGCTGGATCAAGTGAGTCCTTATATCTTTCTGTATTTTTAAATATATCTCTTAAGTCTTTATTGTGGCGGTTAACTACCTCTTGCTGTCATGCAGGTCACAGGCTCCAGCAGCGGCGGTCTTTGCCGGCAGCCCTCAGCTGTTGGGAACCGTGAAGTTGTGTTCAGGTGCAACCGTGACCAGTTTACCGCTTTATACAGATATCAAGCTGCTGAGGAGGACTGAAGACGTGAGTGAGATGAAATATTTATTCTGAAGGAAAATAAACTAAAGGAGAACATAGATTCAGATGCAGTGGCGTAACTATCAACGTTGCACCGGGGCCCAGAGCGGGCCAGGGGCCCATGCAAAAATAAATCAAAAATATGGCATTGACCGGTTCGCGCAGTCTTCAAAGTAACCAAGCAACCTAAATGAATTTGTCTGTCCAATAACCTTGCTCCCTCTCATGTCATGTGATACCTTGCGTGACGAGCGAACCGTTTAATCAACCTGTACTGTACTGTAGCTGTAGCAGCAAGTTCGGTAGCATTATAAAAAATGTAATAGCTTGCATTTATAATGTACAGCAAACCAAAGCACAAGAGTGGCGCTCAAAAGAGAAAGGACAAGAGAGAACAAGGAGATGTAACAGCTAAACTGACTAAATTAGACAGTTTTTTTGGTCATACATCGTCCTCGAAATCGAGCGCTAATGTTAGCAATGTTGACGTGCAGCGGCAGCCGGATCCGGAGGCTAACGATAGCTCATGTGCCTCACCATCATCACTGCCATCTAGCTCCACAAGTGAAGCTGTATCCGTGGCCGTAGCTGTGCAACCTTCTTCGCCAGCCAGCCAGGAGGAGAGGCTGTATTTGGCTGTGCCAGGCGGTGGTCCAACAGTTCCCCCAAGGGCCCCAACCGATAGGGGACTCTATGGCGCTATTGAGACCCCCGACGCCAAGATCACAAGCTATATTATAGCAACCGGTCTATGTAGGCCTACCGGCCCATTCCCCAGAGACAAACATCAAGGAAACAGGTTTAATCCTCTTCTTAGTTCGCTGTGCCGTTGTCAGGCTGTGGTGGTCTGAGGCCAGGGCAGGCTGTTGTTGATAGCCTACATGTAGCGCTTCTGAGTGGTTGTGTATGTCCTTGCGTGTGTGAGCGCATCAGTGTGCGCTTATGTTTGGGGTGATGGGGGGGCCCTAAACAATATTTGCACCAGGGCCAATCACAACCTTGTTACGCTACTGTTCAGATGAGTTAAGTAACGACCATTGTTTTTCTTGCAGACTTACCAGGTGTATGCAATGAGATCTGCAGAGGACATTTATAAGATTCTGACTTCTCAGAAGGCTAACTATGTGATCATCGAAGAGTCCATTTGTAACGAGCTGAGTGTTAATAAAGACTGTAGGATCAAAGATCTGCTTGATATTTCCAATGGACACGTGAGTTACAGTATGAACTTATTATTTTACCACCAGCTGCAGATCCCCCTCTGTTTATCTAGTAATGCTGTTGCCATGAGTTGAAAAGAGCAAAACACCAAAATCTGAATTGTGAGGTTTTCATTCACAGAAAAAAAGTGCTATTTTCTTTTCTTTGTGTTGCTCTTGTCCATTACTAAGAGACATTTAAATACTACAATTGTAAATTGCACTGTATATCTAGATATTGAATAGACAAACACAGTTTAAGGGAATAGCTTGGAAATGAGCTGGGCGTTAGATATTTATTCATTTATTTTAAGAGGGACAGTGCACATTAATCAACATTTCTGTAAATGTGCCAGAGTTAGCCAAGAGGCTATTTTTCTTCTGTAGTCCCTGGACAACGATGATGGAATTGATTCCACTCTCATGACCGATTGTTAAATATATAGCTTCCAATGGTAGACAGTTAGCTTAGCATAACATTTGGAATCCGGGATGAACGGCTAGCCTGACCCTGTCAAACAAGAACAAAATTAGCACATCTAAAGCTAACCAAAATATATATATTTTGTTTATTTTATGCAAAAAAAAAACCATATAAATGTAATATTTTGTAGTTGCTACGGGGTTTATAAACTGGAATTATTCTTGGCTGGAAGCAGTTATTTCTTTATTACAGCTAAGCAATTTTTTTTCAAACGCTGAGCTAATTCAATTCAAATTCAATTGAAAGGTTTTATTGTCATATGCACAAAGCTACAGTGTAGAAATGGCAATGGAATTCTTCTGACCTGAGCTCCTCCAACAATGCAACATATATAATAAAATACAAAAAGCTAAGCTAACTGAAGCTTCATATTTACATTTGAGGCATAGGAGTGTTATCAATCTTCTAAGTCTTGGCTAGAAAGTAAATAGGTATGTCACCCGACATGTCAATCTCTTTAAATGCATGTTCAATATGGATACATATAGTTAATAACAATGCAGGAATTATTATAAATACAGCTTGTGTATTCTGAGATATGTCATGTTTTTAAGGAAGTCATTAACATCCCATATTATCTTGTGTGATTCAGGTGGTTTATGACAAAGGAGAGGTTTACTCGTTCTCCAAGCACGGAAGATTCTGCCAAGAGATAAAGATGAACTACTCGCCTTACACCAACTACTTTACCCGGGTCTTCTGGAACCGCTCGTACCACGTGTACAAAGTGAACTCTGTCATCTCCTTTCAGTACTGAGAGCAGCTCCACCTTCCTGCTGAGACTCAACTGAGCCTGACTCTGCCCTTCTCCAGTGTTCCTTGTCCAAAAAACAAAGGACTCTGGGAAAATGTCTTATCACTGGTACTTTCCACATCCTGGCGATGGTGATGATGCAAATTCAGACATACATATTGTCCTGGTTTTGGCCTACGCATTGTTAAAATCAACATGAAATGTCTCATTTTAGGATAAAATATGCCATCAATCAAGCCATGTGTTACTGCAATGTATTTAATGAAGGGAGAGTTTAATATGTGAGTTGTGTGCTCACGTTGTACAGAAGCTGAGAGCAGGTGTGGTTGATGAGATTTTGCAAAAGGGAAGTGATAAAGTAAAAGTGAGCAATGTTAAAGAACATTAGCCCGTGAATATATATTTGCAGCTCGTTAGCAAACCTTAGGAAGATGAAAAAGTTGTGATATCACATTTGAAGTGTAAAGCTGCTTCAAAGAAAAGAAAGATGAACAATTGTGGAGAGACAGTTTGTTTTTAATGTGTCTTATGTGCTCTGCTTTTCCCATTTTAAACAGGCTTTCTTTTCAAATCCCCCTCGTTTTATGTGAACTCATATTTTGATTGATTGAACATGCATGGACAAAGGCACAACATGTGTGAACTTTCTTCCAGCCTTAAAGTGAAGTGGATGCTGGTTCTGAAAATACTCATTTCCAACGCTTTGTGTCATCATACTCTTCATCTGGATGCCTTATTTTGAGATGTATGACCTGACTGACTGTTTACCCATCACAGTTTAAGTTAAGCCTCAGCCTGACCATTTCACCTCCTCTGGTTCTTACCTAAAGTATTTGGTGGTTATTTCCTCTGATGCAATAATGCAATTCGTACCAATGACTGTCCCTCTGCAAAAGGCCTAGCAGTAAATATTAGTTGTTTTTTTGGATTATGGAAAATAAAGTGTGTATGAGTTGTTAAATACAAAGCTGATCTCTACAGTCTGTTGCCCTATTTTTGGATAGTTTCTATAATGATTTTTATAAGTTAATATGATGGTCCCTTTTTCATGCAAATTGGAATGAATAGGGAATTAAAAAATAACTTTTTTATAGAATAAATGTTCACCTCTAATGTGTATTTATGTGTATCACATTTGATTGTCCATGTAGTTTATTAATTTACTACTTAATTGTATATAACGAATGAATTCATATTATAGTATTATATTACTCAATTTTCTTAAAAAAAAAACACATCTTAAATGAGTGTTCGATAAGGCCTCAGACAAAATATTATAATTCCCCAAAAGTGATTCAGTAATATCTGTGCAAGCAAGGGATAATCAAATAATTAAATGTAGTGAAGTAACGATAAAAGTATTATAAATGAAGAATGCTAGACTAAACTAAAAAGTAAATCTAAATTGAACTATAAGTACAATAAAGTGAGTAGCCTTTGACACGCACAGTTATAATAACACATTAAGTCCACGCTCGCAGTATAAATATGCGCTAACACTGCGCACCTGTGTCTCCCTGGCGAAGAAGCGGAACCGGAAGAGGCGGCGGGATGTCGAAGCGCAGAATACATTATGTGAGAATTAAACAGTCCATGTAGCTGTTCCAGCTTTTATTTTGGAGGTTATTCTGTACATTAGGCTCATTTTTTTTCTATTTGTTCCATTTGGCCTATAAAGGTAAGCTAACCCGTCCCCGTGTGTCCGTACCGGGCTGAAAAGTTTAGCTAGTTAGCTAGAATATTAGCCCAAAACAACGGCAGCTCCACACACAGCAGAGGATGGAAGAGGTGCGCTTGATTCATATACACTTGAAGCCAAAAGCCACCGTAGTTCAGTCATTTTCGCTCTCTCGTGGACATATTTGAACTCCGCCCACTCGGCACAACACGATGATCTAAATAAACTTACCTTGGTCACCACAGAAAATAAACAGAATATTGAATATAACTTTGCTAATGTTACGATCTTTAAAGAAATAGTTACATAGCTGGCTAACATAGCGTAAAATAAACGTGGTTGGGTGTTGTTCATGAATGTGTTTCTATTACTACTCTTAATAAAATACAGAAAATACACTAAATGTGTGGGATTATTAAATGTGACCAACAGAAATTATGTTGTGAAAAGCAGTAATAACAGCACTCCATCTTTGCTGTCCATCTCTATGATAAGGTAGCTGAAGTGAATTTGCCTTGGTATTTTGGGACATAACTATCACAATTTAGAAATAAAGAATATAAAATAAATTAGGATCTCACTATAAAATAGAAATTCACTTAGACTGTTTTCAGAGGCTCACTAGTATTCCTCCTGATGACTATTTGGTAAACTGGTCTTGTGTGTTGTTCCAGGACAATTTCACTTTGTTGACATAGAGCTCCAATATAGAGTAAAAATAAAGCAAGCCTTTATTGGGATTTGTTAATCAATGAAACTAAATCCAGAATGTGTCCTGTTCCCCAGGGGAGGATGAGTGTGGAGACGGTGGACCGGGTGGCTGCTGTGACCAGCGGCCGGCCCAGCACCCCCCTCCAGACGTCCTGGTTTGAGTTCCTCCTGGACGGCAGCCTGCTGGAGAACCACCTGCAGAAGTCATACCCAGGTCAGACCAGTGTGATGAGGGATGAACAGCTGATGTACAATGCCTTTACCAGATTGCTATTGGTCTCTTCATCTAATAAACCAAATTATAAAAAACAAACACTGGTTCTATTCGTTAAATAATCTGCTCTGTATCAACTGCGACACAATTTCCCCTTGAGTTGAACATGGCTAAAATGTCTTTGCTTATGAATGTATTTTTGATAAAAATCTATATATATAAATGAATGTTATGCCTTGGTTATGAAACAAAAATCTCTTCGTCATTACTCATTATTGAGTAAAGCACATAAATGTTTTCTCTCTATTTTTGTATCATGTTCAAAGTTGTTCAACTCAAGACATGCTTATTTTTGAATATTGCATAATAATCACCCATTTTAATTTAATCCATCTTTTTTTTCAACATGTATAACACTTAATTGCAAAATAACTTAAAAGGATTACATTTTGAGTGGACACCTTAAATAAATGGACTGCATGCTTTTCAATGTCCATATGTGTGTGAATGTGTTTCCCACAGACCCAACACCAGTGCAGCTGATCATCCAGTTCCTGGAGCAGGCGTCCAAACCCTCTGTGAACGAGCAGAACCAGGTGCAGCCTCCAGCAGACAACCGCCGGAACCGCACCCTGAAGCTGCTGGCCCTGAAGGTCGCTGCACACATGAAGTGGGATCTGGATGCTCTGGAGAAAGGGTAAGAGTGTGTGTAGGTGTGTGTGAAAGGCTCTTTCATATACGGTTTAAGCTGAGGAAGACTGTGTGACTTTTCATGCTTTTCTTTGCTCGTCCACATTGCTTTAAGTCAATTTGGAATGTATGAAAGTCTATCAAATCATACAGATGTTTGGATCATATCCTTATTGATCCTTTCTTCCCCTCCAGTTTGACCATTCCAGTATTAAATATGTTACTCAACGAGCTCCTGTGTGTGAGCAAAGTGCCTCCAGGGGTGAAACATGTGGACCTGGACCTCTCCACTCTGCCTCCCACTACGGCCATGGCTGTCATCATATACAACCGCTGGTGAGTAAGATCCAAAGCTGATGTACGAAGAAACGTTTTGCACTTCAGATTTGTATTCTCTGTTATTTCTCATCAATTGTATTCACATTTGTCACAAAGAAGAAAAACTGCATGAATACAAATAATAAAGAAATTCAGAGTGTTTTTAATCTGAAGTATTTCTCTTTGTTTCTTTCATAGGGCCATCAGAACCATTGTGCTGAGCAGCTTCCCTGAGAAACAGACCAAACCAGGACCTCACCAGATGAACATGTACATTCTAATCCTTCTTGTTGAACCAAGCTAAAGTTATTAACAGAGCAAATACATTTCCTCATGCTTATTGTATGCAGTTGCACATTTAGGAAATACAAATATAACTTTATAAAAGTGCTCTATATGATGATTTGTTGTGCTCTGGTCTCTCGCAGGTTAAGTATAGTGCAGCAGGAGAAGGAGATGACTGAAAACATCCTCACTGTGGTGAGTTCATGTGGTTTTTATGAAATTCTCTGATTTCTCTCCAAACGACATTGATGATATCTATTAACATGTTATCGTGGTATTTATCCACTATTAAACCCATTTCAAAATCATCTAAGAATGATCCAGGTATACCTCAAAATGACAGCGTATTAAACCTCCTTATTATAATCTACTGTATAAATAATATCCTTGTGTTTTGAATGTGACATCGGATGAGGAGTAGAATGGATTTAGAAAACACTTAGCCTACCGTAATTTTCGGACTATAAGCCGCACCTGAATATAAGCCGCAGCAGCGGCATACCACTCTCGGTTCCACTTTTACTTTTGCGCGCTACCTGTCTCACTCTTTTCCGGCCTCCAGCTTTTCCTGCTGGAACCCGCCGCTTAAAGGTGGGGGTCCGCGGACCGGCCATAGAGCCCATAGAGTTAAAGGTGTTGGCCGTTAGCTGTAAAAATCCATAGATTAGCCGCACCGTTATATAAACCGCAGCGTCGAAAAATAGGGGAAAAGGCGCGGCTTATAGTCCGAAAATTACGGTACATTGATCCTATTCACGTTCATTCAAGAAGAAGAAAGTATAGTATTTTAACTTTTTGCTAATTTCAAAGGACTTTTGAGAGAGGAATGAACTTGCTTTTAAACTTCCACACTGGTTTACAGTATGCTCTCTTTTTCTAAATAATGGGGTCTTGTGAATGGCTGCTTGGGCTATGCGTATTATTTATGCATAACATCATAATTATATAAGAAATGAATCCTGTTATCCAATTTTTCTTTTGTCTCATAGTTTTGACATGCTTTTCATTATATCCCCTATTAAAGGAATCCTGTTTTGTCCTTTTCCACTGGCTATGAAATAACCTCAAATACCTTGCTGCCCTCAGCTGAAAGAGCAGGCGACGGACTCCATCAGTGTCCTGGAAGGAGCTCTGCAGCTGAAGAAAGATTTCTATGTTCACACTCTGAGGACTCTGGACCTGCTGGCTGCTGACGCTGCTGCCAACGGGGAGACGGAGTCCTCCACCGCAGGGCTCAGGATCAGTGCTGACGAGCTGCACTGTCAGGTCAGCGGCCTGCACAACATCCAAAATACAACCAGATGGACCTTATCGAAGCAGGGAGAACTTGTAAAACATCATCTCCCAATGAATCTGAAACAAATGTCCGAGAAAGGAAGTGTCACTCATTGCATTTCTAGTGTGTTGAATATGAAATGGGTCTTCATTTGTACTTTGGTGTTTCAGGTGAATTATGATCTGGGAGGGATTTTCTTCCAGCAAGGCTGCACAGATCAGACAGCCTATGAGAAAGCCCGGGATCACTTCAGACAGACTAAGGAACTGTTTACAAAGGTAGATTCACTCGTGTATCACTTATGGATTTAGTCAAAGATCATACAGTAGTAAACACATTATTCTGCATTCACAAATACGAAAAGAGGATATCATTTTATGGAGAACATTATAAACAATATGTAAACCAAAACAATTATTCAAATGATTTCAAGGAAAGAAACATACATTTAGTTAAAAGATAAAACAGATATGTAAATACTTAATGCATACATATACTGTACATTACACTTATATTTAGTTCATATACATATTGTATATTTGTATTGCACAATCTTGTCATAACTTCTTATGTTTAAACAATGTATTTAATGTTATTCTAATTCTAGTCATAAAACCCAATGGAACTTAACCAGCACAGATTCTGCCTCTTTCAGTCCTTTTATTGTTACAGTTCAATACCAGCAGTAATTCATAGACTCTTTGTTTTCAGCTGGATTCCACCGTCCACGTCCACCTGGATGAGAAGCGTCTGGCCGGCTACTGGAACGCCTGCAAAGCTCTGACTGAAGACTGCGACCCGTCAGACACACAGAACACGCCCTACAACCAGATCAACAGCCTGATCAGAGCGCACAACCACCAGGTCAGAGCGCATCTGTAACACCTAAGATCAGAGTTGAATGAAAGATATCAGAATGGAGGTAGCAATGTACTTGATATGATTTATTCCTCTCTGACAGGCTGTCATTGAAGCCTTCATCAAAGACAACATGTGCCGCAGTTTGCCAATCAACTTCAGACGCTCTGTTCTCAGAGAGTTCCTGTACAAAGTCCAACAAGGGTGAGAACATCATTTCATCCAACATCAACTGCTTGCTGGCATTGCATTTGATTTGATGTTTTTAATATACAGTGCAAAGAGTCACTTGCGTATTTCTAAAGGATCTAACAAACATCTTATTTCTCGATGCCCTGCAGGGAGTCCAGTCTGGACGAGGTTTGCTACAAGCTGTGTGTTTGCAACGCTGTCCGAGATGCTTTGGAAGGAGAAGTGCTCAGTGTGCGCTTCCACCAGCTGCTCCTCAAGCCCAGCAAGAAGATGGTGGACTTCATTTTAGAGGTGCACACTCGCCTTCTTGTGTCTGAAATATGTGCGTCTGATGAGGGATTCTTACAGGAGTCATTCAAGCTTTAGAGCTTCAACTGATTGAAGTGTTCAAACCTGGAACATACAGAATATTGAAGTATGACTTATGCCTCTATATTTCCTTCACTCAACTATTAAATAAAGCTCAAATGACCTTTAAACAATGCAAAGAAGCATTATCCATGATCCCATTTGGTGTCAGTGAGTGAAGACCCTTCTGCTCATAGAAAAACATTTGTGGGAGTTTTATCAAAATTAGCATCAGGATTCCTAATAATCTTTTTTATTACATTTTTTTTTTTATGAAATCTGATAGGATTTTTTGGAATTGAAGTAAATCTGTGCAGAGGTTTGAGAAGTATGTATCTCTTTTTTTCTCGTGATAGTTGAATGAAAAAGGCTTCTGTACATTTGAATGTAATATTCTACGTCCTGCAGGTCTGCACACTTTCACTGGGAAAAGACCGCCCGTCTGAGTCATCCAGGAGGAACATGGCCACTTTCATGAAGTGAGTATGAGCAGAGTAAGGTCACCTAAAGTGACGACACGCTGATCTACGTAAAGTCAGAACCTACAGCAGATTGCTGTGCAGTGTTCAACATCTTTGAATCATTATGCAGGACTCTGTGTGAGACCCTGCAGGAGCTGCCTCTGCTGATGGGGGTCTCCTCTCATAAGCTCTTTGTGGAGCTGCTGAAGGAGGAGGACAGGAAGGTGCTGGTGGAGCAGCTGAGGAAGAAATCAGCCACCATCAACCTCAGCGCCAAGCCTCTGCCTTCCTTCTATGACATTCCAGGTACGGCATTCATCGAACGTGTGTTATCTGCTGGTTGAAATGTCTTTTTGAAGCGCCTCACTTCCTGCATTGTGCTTCAGCTTCGTCGAGTGTGAGCATCGGGCAACTGGAGCAGCAGCTCATCCTCTCACTGGAGCCCCGCAGGATCAGGCAAATCCTCATCGAGCTGCACGGCATGGCTGAGAGACCCTTCTGGAGGGTCAACAGCAAGGTCAGAGCTCACATACTGACACAGGAGAGAAAATAGATATAAGAAGCTCTAACATGTTTGATATCTACTGTATATTTAAGGAGTAACAAACATGGTCGATTTGATCCATAGCCACCATTTATTTTTATTTTTTTTACTTTTTGTGGAAAATGTCTTATTGATTTTCAGATATAATGATGTATTTAAAAGACCACTTTGTGTTTGTGTGTACAGTGGGAAGTTCCTAAGGACTACATCAATGTGATCCTGGGCATCAAAGACAACCTGACTAAGGACCTGGTTTACATCTTCATGGCCAAAGGACTGCACTGCATATCAATAAAGGTAGGGCTGCACTAGTGAGGAAAATATATAATAAGGTTATTGAATATCGAGAAACAAATATTAGATTGGGTCATTAAATGAGGTGTTTCTCAATGTCGAGTAAGGATGCTCCAGAGCCACTATTTCAAGCATACTGCATCATCGAGTGCCGCCGAAGGACTGTTCCAATGTCCAGCATACTTGGAATTCTACCGAGGCCGGAGTACTTCGTAGGGAGAAATTTCGAGGCTGCACATGTGTAGACTCCGCGGCCTTAAAATCCCCACAATGCTTTAAGCACGGAAATTTCCCCAAATCTGTGGCGGAAAATGTAAGGCGGGGCCTCATATGACGCACACCTGCACACTTGCTACCCTTTTCCACTCTTCGTTTTCCGAATGACAGGAAGTATTCTTGCCTCGCTTCTGAAGCAAGTGACTCGGAAGACATGAGCTACCAAGCAAGCGTACTCAACATTAAGAAAGACCCAGGGTCATGAAAGTGTACACAGTTCTGCCATTTTGCTTCATTCAGCATACTGCTAAAATACAACATATTGCTTGTTGAATTAAAATCTCAATCAAAACATTATTTTATTTAACAAGTTTAACATTGAATTAAACATAAAAGACAAATGAAAAAAAGAATTATAGTTATATTCTAAGTATCTTTTTTTTTCAACTTAAACTGAAAGCCTCTAACTGTCATTTCAAATCAAAATCAAAGTTTATTTATTCAACCCAATATCACAAAAAACGTTTTTCTCAGTCGGCTGTACGGATTAAAAACAAACAACAACATTGTAAACAATCAAATTAAAGGAAAATGAAAAGACAAGATACAAATATAATAACAACAAAAGACAATAAAAATACAAAATAAATTGCAGGAACCAGGAGGACGAACACAGGGAATAATATGAAACCATGACATATGGTGCCGTGTCAAATAAAAGAATGCTTACATGATCAGTGCCCAGAAACATTACTGACTTAGAGAAAAACGAACCTAGCTCATCAAAATAGTCAAAGTGATACAATAGGTGAGGAAATGTTTGAGGCACTGTGGACAACAATGATTGAAACACTTACAAGAGGTATATAAGCTTTGGGATTATAACAATGTTTCAAATGTAAATCCTTGTTTCCTGTCTCAGGACTTTCCCCACGCCCGACAGCTGTACTCTGCCTGCCTGGAGCTGGTCACCGAGTTTTCCCCCAAGCTGAGGCAGGTGATGCTGAACGAGATGCTGCTGCTGGAGGTCCGCGCGCATGAGACCATGGCAGCCGAGGGCAGCAAGGAGAGACCCCCCTCAGACCTGGTCAGCAGGGTGAGGGGATACCTGGAGATGAGGATACATGGTGAGAGGATGGAAGCACTGGGAGCACCTGCTTTTGACCTAACTATCATTTGTCTTACATTTTCTGGCATCATCAATAGTTTAGACACTTTTGGAGGCACAAGATCTATGTGGGTAGCATCCCAATTCGCTCACTCCTGCAGTAAAAAGAAGGATCATTGATCAAGTGTGTACATTATAGAACAAAGAGAAACACACAACTGCTACTCTGTCCTGTGCTAAATACAAAAACAGTTGCTTTTTTTCACAACTCATACCAAACTAATCCAAACCACAGCAACATCAGCACACACCGTTCAGATGCACTGAACTCTGTGTTTGTCTCCAGATCTGCCTCTGCGTCAGGTGGTGGGGGAGGAGTGTGTGGCCTTCATGTTGAACTGGAGGGAGAATGACTACCTGACCCTGCAGGTGCCCCCCTCTCTGGTCATGAACAACCCGTACATCAAGGTAAACACTCAGATACTGCCTGACTAATGCACTCACACAGATGATAGCTTGGCTCCTTTCTACATTAACAACACAAATGAACACGTGTGACCGGTCAAGCACCAAATAACAGATCCAGTTAGAGTCTAGCTGACGAACAAAGAGGAGCATTTAGCAGACCAGTGAATGTTGGACTAAAATGTATCAAATAATAACAATTCTTTGTGTGTGCTCAATGCTTCACACCGACTCTAGAAGGTGATAACAAGTCAATGTTGTGCTCACAGCTTCTTGTTCTGCCGCTGAATTGGCCAATTGAATGAATTGTTGCAGGTTTAAGCCATACGATTTGTTTACTAAAAGACTAAATGGCTCTACCAGCTACACGTCGGCCCTTAACAAAGTATGTTTGATGACGGACCCTCGTCTGGCTGTGGGATGGTTTAAACGCTCAGGACTCTTGGTTTGTATTTGATTCATCCCCCACTCCGTTACCTTCTGATAGATCGGTCAGCTGCTGGCTTCCACGTGCAAAGAGCTGCCGGGTCCTAAAGAGTGCCGGCGCACAGCCAAGGAGCTGTGGGACGTGGTGGTCCAGATCTGCAGCATGTCCGTCCAGCACAAGAGGAACAACGACGGCAGAGTGGGGCTCATCAAACAGAGGGAGTCCTCCATGGGCATCCTGCAGCGGTACACTGCCAACACTCAGATCTGAGAACAACAACACAATCATACAGTGAGACTAACGCTCATTCTGGTGCTTTCATTCTCTCACCCATTCAGGAGCAAATTCATCACTTTCATCAAGAAACTTCGAGTAAGTATTCAACAAACTAAACACTCCAAACATCCAATCCATATCGGATGAGGTGCTAATGGTGCAAATGCCTTCTTGTTTCTCACAGGAGCCGCTGGTGCTGACGACCCTCATCTCACTGTTTGTCAGGTTCCACAGCATAGTGCGGGTATGTCCATGATTTCAGCTGCTGGATTCGGAACTGTTCCACATTGATGGCACCCTGCGGAGACTTACATAGGCTGTGTGGTGGAGGGTTTATTTTGTCAGCAATTTGTTCATATTCCTGTGAAGTTTAAACTGAACCTTTACCGATCACTGTAGGGGCATGTAGGTTCCAGTGCGGGAGAAGCAGTGAGAGGGAAACACAAGATAGGGCAGGTAAGAGCTCATAGGAGAATGAGAATACAAAATGTAAAAGGAACATCACATATTAGAATATCGACTATAGGGTTAGGTAAAACCAGATGTTTCCACATTTTTTTTCTATATTTTGGATACAAGATGATCCTGTTCTTTTTATTAAATGTACCTTTACAAATCACCCTAGGGATATTCAGGTTTCAGAACAGCAAGAGAAGTGAGAGGGAAGCACGTGGTAGGACAGGTAAGAGTTCACACAAGAACAAATAAATATACAGTTCAGGCCTAAATGATTAGCCCCCCAGGAGTTGTGGAACATTTTCCTAAAATTCTTCCCAATGTTTCCAGCATTGATAAAACTTGATATAATCAAACATTCACCAGTGCTATTTAGTAGCTTTTGGTACATTTTGGAACATAAAATAAGTTTTTAGGCTTGCTTTATATCAAATATAGTGAAGCATGGGTTGGTCAAACATATTAGCCCCCAGGCCATTAATAGTCCATTTGTACCCTTTCTGAGCCACAACTGAAAACAACCTCTTAGAGTAGTTCTTTAGGTTGGCACAGGTCTCTTGAGGGACTTTGGCCCATTCTTCCTTTGCAAATGGTTCAAGCTGGTCCAAATTGTGTGGTTTCCGAGCATGGACATTCACTTTGAGCACCCGCCACAGATTGTCGATAGGATTGAGATCTGGGCTCTGTGCGGGCCACTCCAGCACCTTGGCTTTGGTGTCCTTTAGGAACTTTTGGACCAATGTGTGCTTTGGGTCATTGTCTTGTTGGAAGACCCAGCGACGACCTAAGCGAAGACTAAGAGCAGATCTTTTCATATGATCCCTCAAAATGTCACCATCATTTTCTTTTGTCATGATGGCTTGCACCCGAACAAGGCTCCCTGTGCCTGAGGCTGCAAAACAACCCCACAGCACGATGTGTTCTTAGGGTTGAAGGCCTCTCCCTTTCTTCGCCAAACATGAGCAACATCCATGTGCCCAAACAGTTCCAGTTTAGTCTCATCAGACCAAAGCACAGACTTCCAAAACTCATCTTTACCTTTCAAATGTTCACGGGCAAACCTCAGTCTGGCTCTGATGTCCCGCTCTCTGAGTAAAGGGGTTCTTCTGGGACGGTGGCCCTGAAGCCCACCACGATGAAGAGCCCTCACAACTGTGTTCCTTGAAACATCAATTCCAGAAGAGGCCAGGTCAGCAACAATCATCTTGGCAGATGTCCGGGGATTCTTGCTGACATCTCTGACTATTTTCCTCTTGAAATCTTGCGCTTTCGACCGCGCCTAGGTTTGTTTCTTACAGAATGTGTCTCCTTGTACTTCGCAATGATGCAACGAACAGCAGTTCTAGACACTGTGAAGCGCTTGGACATAGCAGTACAGCCTTCCCCCTTATCAGGAGCCTCCACTATTTTCTTTCCTTTGTCTTTGGCATGGTGAGTAGGAGTAGTAGTATAGTCCCTCTCAAAAAAGGTATTCAAGTGCCTGTTTCTTGGAGTCCTTTGATGCTGATTGAAAGCTCAGGTGTGGCTTGAAAGCTGATTCATTGATTTCGCTTGCTTTGAAAGCAAAAATTCACATGGGGCTAATATTTTTGACCAACCCATTTTTCACTATATTTGATATAAAGCAAACCTAAAAATGTATTTTTATTTTCCAAAATGTATCAAAAGCTACTAAATAGCACTGGTGAAGGTTTGATTATATCAAGTTTTATCAATGCAGGAAACATTGGGAAGAATTTTAGGAAAATGTTCCACAACTCCTGGGGGGCTAATCATTTAGGCCTCAACTGTATAAGGACAAGTGTTTATTAAAATGACAACAACAGAATTAGATGAAACAAGTTGTGTCAAGTGCCCTTAATTCTTTTATGATTTTAAATACAGGATTATCCTGTTTTTATAGTTAAGTTTAAGCTAAACCTTTATTAATCACCCTAGAGATATTCAGGTTTCAAAGCAGCGAGAGAAGTAAAAGGGAAAGACATCTTAGAGCAGGTAAGATTTCACACCGCTGGTGCTCGAACACGTTGTACGTGATGGGTTAAGAGGAAGGACATCTCAAAGTGGTTGACCAATCACAACAGAGCTGGCCAGCTAACCAATCAGAGCATGCTGGGCTCTGGTTTCAGACAGAGGGTGAAAAGAGGTGCTGCAGCACAGGCAGTATGAGAACAATAAAGAGCTTTCTGAACATTAAAGCATGGAGACATGTCCCAGTAGAGACACTACATACTGATATGAACCTGAAAATGAGTGTAATATGTCTTCTTTAAACTAGATTTGAGTCTTGTCTTGTTATGGAGAATATTGCAGGTTGATCATCAGCTGACGTTGTTGCCGTTTCATCTTTAAGACACAAAAAGAAAAGAAAAAGGTTGTGGACGAAGTAAACACTAGTTGCGACTAAAATAGAAAATGGCTTCAATGTTGCACCATGTGCACAAATACCATGTTATGATGGAAGTGTTTTCAGCAGGACACTGAGACTTGTTCTCTAAACTGCTTACAGTATCACTGATTGTCTCCTGGGTAACGTACGGTTTCCTCCCTCTTTAGGATGATATTGTAAATGAAGTGACAGCCGAACACCTCACCATCTGGCCATCTACTCTCCTAAAGTAAGAACTATTTTTCTTCTTAATGAAATGTTACAATTTCTGGAACAAAGCCTCTAAATGTACTTTGTGTGTGTGGACCAGCATCCAGGCAGTGGATGTGGAAGCTGTGGCGGTGACGGTCAAAGAGCTGGTGTCCTACGCCCTCACCCTGAACCCTAACAACCAGTCGTGGCTCATCACACAGGCAGACATCTACTTTGGTGAGAACAGAGCAGCAGCCTTTGTTCCTGTAGTGATACCTGCAGTCAGAAGTGTGTCCTTATATTTCACGTGTCAGTTTCCCTGAAGACTGCTGCTCTTGTCTCTCTGTTTCCAGTGACCAATCAGTACTCTGCTGCTCTGAACCTTTACCTCCAGGCCGGAGCTGTGTGCTCAGACTTCTTCACCAAAACTGTGGCCCCCGACGTCTACTCGGACCAGGTACACACAGAAAACATTATTCAGACTTTCACTATGACCAGCTAGATCATTTTGAAAAAATCAACAGTGATTTTTAAAATGAGTTTCTACAGTCCGATAATTACAATACTACAACATAATACATTATCTCTGATCAAATTACAATAATAAAAGAAAAAAAAGATGAGACTAAACATACTTTATTCACTGTTCTACTGTTAAATAACATGATCCCATATGTGCACAAACACCTAATCTAGTAAGAGAAGAAAAATAGCCACACAAGTTTTGTGATGGATCTTGAAATCTAGCCAGGATCACACTTTTAGAAATAGTCAGAATTTTCGGAAAATGCTAATTTATTTATTCAATTATAAGTCTATAATTAACGTATTAGTCTTCCATATCGAATATTAAGTTAACACTGCATATATGTGTGTTATATTGAGCTTTATTAGGTCATGTGTAAATTGATACAGCCATTTCTTTATCATGCTATATTAAATATTTGAGCACATGGGACTACTATAATATAATCCAATACATAGGAAACACTAGTCCCATGTGCCCAAATACTGAATATAGTTATTAAACACTTATCAGCCAACTGTTTCAAAATGGTCTTGTCTTCAGATTTGAGTTAAGGCAAACCCACAGAAAAAAACAAAATGTCAGTTGCAGGCACAAATATGTTGAAATGAATCCTGTTTTAACTCTCTGTTGTCTGCAGGTCCTGAAGAGGATGATCAAGTGCTGTTCAATGATGAACTGCCACACACAGGTCAGAGGTCATCCATTCTCCCTTTTCCTAAGATGAATTGCAGCTGCTAATTGCTTTAGAATCTTAACATCCTGATATCAAAAAAAAATTTTTCAAAGTACAGTGCACACTTTGTTTCCTTCCATTTTGAATCTGCCTTTAAGCGCCTGGTTTTCTTGTTTAACTCTGTTACCTCTTATCCTTTCCAGGTGGCTGTTCTCTGTCAGTTTCTGCGAGAGGTGGACTACATGACGGCATTTAAAGCTCTTCAAGAACAGAACAGGTACGACATTACACACCCAACCGTTTAGACCGAAAGCACTGTTCCTCTCACCTCTCACGTCCTCATCTGTCCCCACAGTCACGATGCCATGGACTCCTTCTATGACTACATCTGGGACGTCACCATCCTGGAGTACCTCACCCGTATCCTTTCTGTTAATGATTCTGAACTGCCCTATATCATATGCAGTTGATTTCACATTCTGTTTTTAAGAAACCTTCTGTTACGAGGTCCATTTTTTCCCTTTTCCTTGACAGTGTGTTGAGATATTCACCACAAGCGGGGCGAGACGGAGAAGAGACAAATAGCGGTAAGGAGTTCAAACCTCAGTGGATTACATCAGGTTTATTCTAACACCAAGCTGTATATATAAAAACTGCTGTTCTACTACTTTATAGAGTTAAATCTATCTTTTAAAATATGAATCAAGTTTTGTTGCTGTTTTTTTGATTGCCAACATCGAGGGAATAAAAAGTGTTCCCTCGATGCATTTCAGATATTATTATTTATATTTCAGACAGCGGGTTTCTTCCATGGTTAATGCATTATTTTAGCTCTTGTGAAACATGCAGGGTTCTTACGGTCATTAAAAACCTGGAAAAGTCATGGAAATTCAAAATGTTAATTCCAGGCCCTGGAAAAGTTATGGAAAACAATATTTTTCCCAAAGTTTTGGAAAAGTCATGGAAATGTAACTAAAGTTGCATCAAATATAATTTATATTTGATCTAATCACCGAAATAGTAATACTATAATGATAAAACATACTGTATGGTATAGTAAGGACATGTAAAATGGCATTTAACTGACGAGGTATTTTGCTGGTGAGAGATTTTAATTGCTTTAGCGTGTAGAAGCTAGTAAGCCTATTTGATTTGTTTTAGAGGCACAACATGTTTCAAACCTTATTTTCCTGTTCCATGTTCAAATAAACCATTTTCAGTGGTACCGCTGAGAAAGAGTAATTTTCTTTGGTCATGGAAAATTAGGTAAAGGTCCTGGAAAATCATTGGTGAAAAAGTGTATGAACCCTGAACATGTTATCCTTCAGCTTCTCTGTAAATGACACCACATGTGGTTGTAGTCTTCACTACAGTGACATGATACAGCCCTGTTAGCATTTATTTATTGAGTTAAACTGCAAAATAATTCCCTATGTGCAATCAATAAAGTAAATCTAACTTAAATGTTGTTAAAATGGGGTTTTGGAAGTCAGTTCTCTACCATGTCTATCGATAGAAACAGCTTTAACCATGTGGTTTAAAGTGCTGTTGAAAGAGGTGTATATACCAAATGTTGCAGATCATCAGATTCTAGCCGTATGCTTTCAGAGGCTACAATAACACGTCCTGCCTCTGCCTCCCTCAGATCAAAGCGATCGGGCAGACGGAGCTGAACACCAGTAACCCCGAGGAGGTGCTGCTGCTGGCCGCCCAGAAGAGGAAGAAGAGGTTCCTGCAGGCCATGGCCAAACTCTACTTCTAGGAGAGTGTGAATCACTGTCAGATGGGGGGGTGGGGAATGTACATTTTTTATTTTGTGGTCGAAAATAAACTTCTAAAATAAATACAGTTGCTCATTTGTACACATGCAATCATTTAAAATGAGAATAAGAAAATAAATCACTGACTCCTCATGGCCCTGAGTCACACAAACAATGGCTGGATCACAACAGCAACAATATGTCTCCATCAGCTGGAGCTTTCATTAAGGTTCATCACAAGCTACAAAGTCATACTGAAGAAGTGGCAGTCATCCATTTGAAAACAATGACACATTTCATCTGACCCTGAAGCAGGGTTACAAAGATTTGATCTGCTGACTACCAACATATTTCATATGCTACAAAAGTAAACAATTGCACATCACTTTCATTTCCTAGAAATGACAATTCCACTCTTTGAATAAAATTAATTTCGGAATTAAAGCACCCAGTTGCTAAAATCAAGCAAAAAAAGCTTTAGCCAATAATTTAGAAAGATATGAGCGTGGATAATGCATTCAGAGACATTTGAGTTCAGCAGGCGTGGAGTGAACTCTTCAGTGTTCGGGTTCACAGTCCGTCTGCCTCTGCTGACGGAGCTGTTTCCAGCTCTTCTGGTTGGGACCTGAACCCCGGCCCTCTTGGTTCACACTCTTCAGAGTCTTCCTCTTGAGCTTCAGTGTGAGACGTTCTTCTCTGTGCTGCTGGGCGGAGTGAGGAACTGTCCGCTCACTTCCTTTTGATTGACGCCCTCCTGAAATAAGACGAGTAAAAAGTCAGAAACCAATAGAATAGCTGCAGCAAAACAAATGTACTTATGTGTTATGGCAGTTCTCTTTGAGATGTGTTAAAGATACAGCTATATTAAAAACAGTCCCTTGAGTTACATTGGTGTAAACTCCAAAGAATGCACACCATACATCAGTTCCCCTGATTTACTTTATTTAATATCAAACTAATAATTAATTTAAGACAAATGATAGAGGCTTTCCTGAACCCTAAATCCTAATTATTTGTCATATCACAACAGAATCTTTTGGAGTTTAAGATATAGCTGGAGGGATGTTTGAAGAAATGATTGAGATTTTTTTTCTATTCACCAAATGATGAGATAAATGACTATTTTTTGCAGCCCTAATAGACACCTAGTCATAAAGAGTCACTCTTAACAAAAAAGATCCCTTTACTGTTAAACAGTTTATTTAAAATTGTACTAAATGTTAACAACCATCCGTGTTAATGATTGTAGAAAATGCAACCCCCACTCTTAGTTTGTCTGGAAAGAATGTAGCTCCTATTCTTGAGGCTAAATGTACTTATTGTAAATCACCTGAAGAAGCCAAACTAATGTAAAAGCAATATCTCAGTAGAATATACGAACCAGCATGCTCATGTAGTCCAGGTGCGTCTGGACGTTGTGTCGGTCTTCTTTCTTTATACTGACAAAGTCTCTCAGCGCTACTCTGCCAAAAAAGCTAGCTGCCTCCACAGAGGGGGCCATCCAGCTCACACACTGCTGCAGGGAGTGTGTGCACAGACCTGAGAACACACACAGTGCACATGGTTACACACTGTGGGTCAGAACATGGATCACAGCTCAGAAACGTCACGTCTTATGAATAATAACCACAAGCCCCTCAGCCCTTTCTGACACAATGTGAATCTTACCTGAAACTTTCTCCACTGTTTCCTGATGAATGAAATGACTCAGCACCGAGGCAGCCAACACTCGATACTCAAAGACCAGAGAGTTTATGTTGATGATACACAAATCTAAAAGCTGGGAAACACAAAGATATAAGAGAAAACAACATTAGACATGAGCCACACTTTAACTGAGGAATAAATAGCGTTTATATAAAAGGTGGTTAAGTCTCTTTTTCTTACGTTAGAGGACATAAACAGAAACCATAAATACTGACAGATTCTTTACTCTGGGATAAGATATAGAAAGACAAGAGATGTATCTGATTGAATACCACTGAGGTAGTGCCGTTCATCAGAATCAATCTAATAAGCAACGCAGACATGCTCATTTTTTTGTTTTTTAACTCAGCTGTGAGACAGGGATTGTTGTCAGTACGTGTGCTTAAATAACACGGATGGGAAAAGCTACCTGTGTCATTTGCACGTAAGCCTCCTGTGGAAACTGCGACTCCAGCAGGTCAGAGTTTGTGCTCATGGATGCCATCTGGAAGTAAAGCTTCAGCCAGGAGACGGCTGTTTCAGGACAAAGGCTCCACTTCAGTGCCTGAGGGAAATGGGTCGAGTTGAGTTGGGCAAATATCACAGCTATGTTATTGATCAAATTAAGAATAACGAGTCAATAACTGTGGATATACTTATTATAGTATTACCTTCAATATGATGAGCTCCATCTGCAGGATCTCCTCTTCATAGTAAGTCCCTGCAGTCACATAGGCCATCTGTGAGAGCTTGGGAGGACAGGCTTCCTACAAAGACAGGAAAATGGCGTCATTATTGAAAGAGTAAGCATGTTATACTGTATGTACAAATAAAATACAGTCGTGATGCCATCAAGTATATCGGGACGTGTTTTGGTGCTCACATTGCTGCACTTTTGAGTTTGTTGCAATGCTTTGATGCCTGCCTGTTGCTCCTTACCTCCATCTTGGATGCTATAAAGAGACAGGTTATCCCGATGAGCTGCAGCATGTTCTTCTCAATGTTGTCCTGCGTCAACATGAAGCGGTCGAAGTAATCCTGAGCCAGGTAGAACGTCTGCCGGTGGAGAGTGTAGGCCTCACTCACCTGGGGAGACAACGACAAAAGGGAGAAGGTTAAGACATGTTGTGATGATCGATCAAGAGTAAAGAAGATGGCATGTTCAAGTTTATACTATTAGGGGAAAATATCATAATTGGACAAAATAAAAGGGTGTTTTAGTAGCCTGATTTTACATTGCGTTAATCAAGATATCAAACAAGGCTTGAACACCTATGGAGATGGGGAAATGGACGGGTGTCACACAGGCAATAACTAATTGGGTTAGAATTTTGTAAATATTTAATGATGCATTTACAACTAGTCTAGACATACATTTTTAACTGTGACAAATATTTCATGGAGCATGTTTGTGTGTTTTGTTAATACTTATTTGCCGACGTACCTCAATTAACCAGTCGAGCAGTATGGATCTCATTCTGGGCTGTATCGCGGGGTGTTTCTGCATGAAGCTCTTGCTGTGTGTGTAGTTCTGCTCCCTGCCCACCATCTTCACCCACACGTCTTCAGGAGATCCCCATCTGCACGCGCAGACAGAAGGGAGGAGCAGCAATGGTCTTTAACCAATTCAATACAAATCAAATGGGCAACTTTTCGACAGTAAGTAAAAATGGCCAAAAAAGAAATCCAGTCCATCATATGTGAAAATTCGAAAATGTTCATATTCTGACATTACAAGAAATAAAATATTATCGGGTTTTAAATGACTGTATTAAACTGTCTGGCAGAAGATAATTACGAGTCAAACCATTGCTGAATAGTGAATGAAACTCACCCAAGAGGAGGCAGAGGGGACGGCTGAACCAGGGTGTGTGTGGCAGTGAGAACGGCCTCGCAGTCCACTCCCCTCACAGCAGCTTTGATGAGAACACAAGGCTCAGCCACGCACTCAAGTACTGTATAGTTCTGAAATAGAAAGGAGAACATTGAAGGCAACATAGAGATAGAAACAGCACAAGATATTTCTGATATATCTGCTGAAATGGTCTTGAAGAAAATGATATGCTTGGGGGAGGAAGAATCATTTGGCTCTTTATAACTGTAGTCTATTCTCTTGAATCCCTGATGGCACTCTTTGCTCCTAATTTGACTCAAAGAAAACAGTGCATCACTTTGTTTAATTGTCCAAGAACAAGGTTTCAGCTTCTTAGATATGGAGATGTCCTGCCATTATATGATTAATATCTCATCAAATAGATAATCATTTGGTTTTTAAATCTGACAAAACAAGATATTTTAAGACTTCTCTTTGTACTTCGGATTGACATTTTGCTTTATTTTCTGTCATTTTATAAACCAAACAATAAATCACTACTTAAATAAGCTCTCACATACCCATACATAACACTACTGTCCACTAGTGTGAGTTGGAAGCTAAACTGTATTTCATTGTCTTTGTACCTGTATTCTGTGCAATGACAATTAAGTAGAATCTATTCTAATTATTAGAAGAAAGGGGCATACCTTCTCACACTGCAGCTTTGACAGGGGCTGGAACTTTTTTCTGTTGCTTTGCTGAAAAGAAAAGAAATAAGTTGTATGTCAGATCTCAGTGTATATAACAACTAATGAAAACTGTTCTGTAGCCTCATAAATGATTACTTTGTTACCTTAGTTACTTTGCTTTTCTGCCCTGGAGCATTTTCAGATCTTTTCTGCAGGCGACCACTGCAAAGAAAACACACTGAACTCAACATGGAGTTGTCGATTTTACAACAGAACAACTAATAATCATCCATAATAATTCATATAGCAACACAATGGGTATTTACCTTCGTCTAGACATGGTTTTGGAGGTTGCTGTCTGTAAAAAATAATATTATTAGAAGCAACGTTAGTGTTTGTTAAGCAGGAAGTTGGCCCTCAGATGAAAACAGTTTCAACCAGCTGCAGCAATCTTGCACAAACAGATTCATTCAAAACCAAGCCCGTTGAAATCACATTTACATACTATCATAATTTAAATCTCATCCTCCGCGCCAACATTATTAGTGAGCGCGTAAAATAAGCCCCTCTATAGCAAACACCAGCGAATCTGCTGCTAAAAGCACACTTTAAGACACTTTATATGACCTTTAGAGATATTTGAGCCCTGAAGATCCTGAAGTTTAATGCTACAAAAGGACCGTGAACACCACAAAGAAACATGCAGTGAAGCCCCCCCAAACAGCCACAACTCTAGCAGCAACACAAAGGCCTGGGGAGGACATTTTGAGTAGTACCAGTGATAAAATGACTTGAATTCAGTACTTACACAGAAGTACACAATCCACAACTATTACACAACCGATACGTTACGGTTTGTTTTACTTTTACGTGATATGTATAGTTAGTTACATCATGATTTAGACGCATTAATATCCAACTTTACAAACCAGGAACAGACAGCAAAGGACTCATTCAAACTGTGCTTCCTCTCCACACATTTCCCAAAAACAGTCAACACTGTTGACCGGACTACTTATATATAGCTAGTATTTGCTAACTTTGATGCTAGCTTGATAAAAAACGCAACAACTCTACCTACAACCGAGTTTACAAAACTATCAATAAAATAACAAACAAACTACTGCTTTAATTGTAGCATACACGTACACACTTGCCCATAACTTACTTCTGAATTACCCAGAACTGTAAAGGTACAACTCTTCGCTAAAGAAGCTAGCTAACTCTTCAGGAGCAGTAATGTTTGCAGCTTACCGAGTCGGTTCCGAGCCCAAATTAAACTCGTTTCCAGTTGGCGCTGGCGCCAACAAATGAGCATCTGCGGCAGATTGCGCATGTGTGTAAATAAATACTCCCAACCCTAAAGCTGACAGCTCGTTACCTCGAACATTAACAAGAAATTAAAATAGGCTCACGTATAACTTATAGACAAGTTACTGTGATTGTGTAGTCATTAACTTTATGCTGTTCTATTCGTTTTTATTTCAACCTACTTAACGCGGCAAGAGGAGTTGGTTCACTAACTAACGTTAAACTAGCAACTTAATAGACACACCTTAGGGTAGTGTTTATTTTCTTAAATAAAATGTTTGGTTTGAGTATTATTACGTCTTTATTGTAATAGTAAACTTGTAAAAAAGATATGAAACTTAAATGAACATTTATTCATTTGTTTCTGTCAGTTGCTTCTTCCGGTCTCTCTGTGGTGGGCGGGGCTACAGAACAGCACAGCCAATAAGAGAGCGAGAAGAATTGAGCGCGTGCTCTTGGCGCCGGATGTAAACAAAGCAGGCAGCTGTCAGAGCTGTCAGTGTGAGGGATCCAACGGAGCTGCACAGGGTCATGGCAAAAGTCATAAAAACAGAACATATACATCTTACATCTCCTCTGCATAAATAAAGGTAATAAATCTTTTTTATTTTTAGCATTTTTCTGGAATGTCTGTTATCAGACTTTAGAATACGAGCCGCATTTATATTTTAAACTCTAGTGCGTATGTTGTACATATGTTGGCATATGTAGACTATGTGTAGACAGTGTAGTATATATACATGTATGTATATGTATGAAATTCATTAATACATCTAGATATTTCAACGTATTAATGTTTGTATATACGCAACAAATGTATTTCACTCGAAAATGTAATTTTGTTTTAATTTAATAAAAGCTGTTCTATTTTATTTCCTATTATTTTGGTGGTATTCAATTGTCTCTTAAAATATTGAAGTATTTGTTTAAACATTTAATGTTTGGAGAGGGGTTCAACGGAATTTCATCGTGCATTTGTATGAAATCTTGTCTGAAACAGGCACCACAACACACTTGATGTAAAGTCGCCCCCTTGTGGATAAATGTAGTTTTAAATCGTACAATTATATTCAGGGGTGCACATAACTTTTTTGCCCTGGTTCTCAAAGGAGCACCTGGAGATGTTGCTTGGTGCTCATCCTTAAAATGAAATAAACCGTAACTTTTGAGGGGGTCTTGACTTTATTTGCCAGACACACGGCACTGAACACACAGAGGTGAAAACAGAACACACATGCAACATTAGCACGACCAGTAATCCTACAAGCTGTCATCACTACCCTCCTGACTGTTCTCCTCACTGTCTTCCTCTCTGTCAGACATGGTAGCTGATGATGTAGGCTTACTTCTTTCTCTCTGGTTGAGTCTGGATTAGCTGCTTGCATCCACAAGTCAACAGCTGGTTTTGGGTCGAAAGTCTCTGTTGTGATCATCTTAGACAAGTTGATGTAATCAAATAAGTATGTGAACATAACCAATAACCTACCATAGCCAATAACAAATTAATGTAACTTATTGTATTTGTGTTGTTCATTCATATCTTATTTTACCTTAACATTTATTTATTTATGCATTTTTTTTATCTCTCCAGTTTTAAAGGATATTTTTGGTTACTGTCCTATAGTATACATTGGAATGATTTCAAACCTGTTTATCCCAATAATTATAAAGGAGTGCCTTGCAAATATGTGTTTACATAAATTGTGACCAAACCGTTTGAACTTAGACTAAAGTTAACTATCTAAACACTCAGAGTCCTTTACCTCACTGAGCTGTAGTTATCAGCCTCTCAGTCTGACTGGAGAGGACTCTCCCTCCACATTATTGTAGAAACATCTTCTTCTTATATCCGTTAGAGCAGCTAGCACCAGATTCTAATAACAACAGCGCCGGTGTCTATCGGGCGGTGTGCCCTTCTCTCTCCCTCGCTCACTCGCACTTTGGCTGTGAGTTGCGGGCGCCAGATAAGCCAATATCGCCCATTTTCATCACTTACAGCGCCCATCGTACAGGGCAAATGAAACGTGTAACCGGGATGAAAAGGGTGTTACATTTACTTAATTATGAATATTGTTACATCAAGGCCGAAAATTAGGATGAGCCCCAACGGTCAAAAATGTTTTTTTTCCCTCCCATAACTGCCAGCGCTTACCCAGATCTGGCGCCCTAGGCGAACATCTAGCCAGTGCTACGGGCCGGCCCTGAGTTCATATGCAACTCGCAAATATCTCTCTCTCTCTCTCTCTCTCTCTCTCTCTCTCTCTCTCTCTCTCTCTCTCTCTCTCTCTCTCTCTCTTTTCTCTCCTATGTTCTCCCTTCTCTTTCTTCTCTCTCTCCCTCTCTCAATGTTGGTACGCAAATGCACCTTTTTTCAAATGACCCGATGCTATTTTTGGCGGAGGTGCGCATGCGCACCTGCGCACCTGTTATGTGCAGCCCTGATTATATTTAACTCAAAGTGGAGAGGGCTTATATAAATTCTAACGTACACAAATAAGGTGAAAATAAGTTTAAAATCCAAAGTATATACACAATGTCATAATTAATGTGAGACATTTTGTAGCTCAGGCAAACATTTCCCCCCCTATGAATTGAATAGCTCGACCATTAGTTGGTTATTGTATTATTCCATTTCATTATCATTGTTCTGGACTCAGTCGCGCAGTTCAGGGTAAATAGAATCCTACATGTTAAATTATTTCTTACAAATATAATGTGCACCATAATCTCAATAGCATCAATTGAACCACAGTTAAATGAAATATATTACATAGAATTAGGAAATGACATTAACTCTTTCTATACGATAAAGTTCTCAAAGTATCTAGTCTTAATGTTAAGAGAGCACTTATTATCAAAATACCCCTGATGTTATATATCAGAATGATGTATGTGGGTTGAGTCCTGATATGAAGTGTGAGTGACAAAGCCACAGGCTTCACTTCCTATCATGATGCTCTGCGTTAAATGGGAAATGCTGTCACTCCGATAGAGAGGAAACAATAGAGGAAGCCTCACTCAGTGCCAACTGTTCGTCTAGAGACAATAGAGCTGTTTCCCCCTTTCTGACAACAACATGAAGCTGCTGAAATGCATTTTAATCATCCAACTGAGCTGTCTTTGTCTAGGTAATGTATACATTTGTATAGACTATTAGTGCAAAACATTATTCACAAACTGAGTTATGAAGTTATTATTTTTTAATGAAGGAAACAATAATAGGTTTATTTTTTGGCAATATAAAGTGATGTATTCAACAACATTTTTTCGAATGTGCGAATACCAACAGCACATAAGGTATGTTATTACATTTACATTTCAATTAAATTACGAACAAATTACAGATGCAAAATCATAGCAGCTGGCATTGTCTTCTTTCCTTTTTTCTGCTGCTCAATCCTAAAAGAAGAAAGTCAAACCATGCAGTTGAAAACTACTGCCGTTATATTGTGAAGTTTGCTATTTATTTTTCAATGTATTTTAGATGAAATACACTAGCCTTTTCATGCATTTTTAGTCCAATCATATCTGCTCTTTTTTTAAGTTTACAAGTGAATATTTTTATTTGAAGATCCCCTTAAATAAAATGCCCTTAAAAGTAATTGCACTATTTCTATTCTTTATCTGTATTTACTTGCACTATTGTATCTGTTTTATTGTGTTGCACTGTTGGAGGAGCCCGTGACCTAAGATTTTCATCGACATAACTACACTGTAGCTATTTACGAATGACAATAAAAGCCTTGAATCTTGAAAATCTTGAATCTTGATGGTGTAGCAGTTAAAAGTTATCAAAGAAATAAATTCAAAAAAAGTTTGGAAGGAAAGTGGGTAAAGCCCATGTGTATGTTTCATACAAATGTATGATTTTTCGAGATGATGGTTGTGTACGATTTTATTTGGCTAACCCTTATTTCCAACACCGATCTTTATCAGGAGCATGCCTTTCCACTACACAAATTAACTATGTGTACGACGAAAACCCTTTTAAATAATTGTACTCCTTAAGATGAAGTTACAGCAAGTGGAAACATAACATGTTGATGTAGGAGAAGATGATTGTGGTGTGAAAGTTAAAATATAAAAGATTATACATGGCAGATAATCGATCATATTTGAGAGAGTTAACCCATATTGCACTTTGTCTGAATGATACAAAAGTGATTTGGTCAGGTTGTTCAAAAGGTGAGTTTGATGTGGTGTGTGGGTGAGAGGCCAATATGAATAGCGCTGAAATGTATACCACTGTTGTTTACAAAACCTTCGCTCGAAATTGCTCTTAATGTCACAGGATGTGGGGTGACCTGCTTGTGAAATGCTCCTATCTGTATTTTGCAGGTGCAAATCAAACCGTGAGAAAGCAGTCTCCCACACACTCTGCAAACCCCCTTTTATTTCTGTCCTCATCTGCACCCTCATCATGCAGTTCTGTCCCTAAAACGAAAAGCCACATGCGCTGCATTTAGAACAAATTCACCAAACATGCACCGGGTTTACTAAAAGCTCTGCACAAACGAAACGCTGCAAACACGTTGTAACCTGACATGGTGTTGCATTTTAGTTAAGGAAAGTATATCAAATTATATATTTTAGCTTATAATTTGGGTAAAAGATAAAGGGGAAAAGTCCTTATAGTGGCTCTTAATTATATCTTCTTTGATTTGAGGTTCACAAGTGCCTCATTTAAATAAAAAAAAAACAGATATGGTAGCGTAGGTTAAGAACATTTAAAAAGAGAACACAGAATTAGATGACAGTAGCTCAGGAAAATGATCAAATTATGCTTTTAGCAGCAGGAGTTAGTGTGTTAATTACTTAATAAGTAAGAGTATATTTAAATGTAGTCAAAAACAAATGGTATATATCGGATTAAAGAGGGCGAGGTGGAAGATTACGCCTGGCAGATTACTTTTTAATGATGTGCTCACCTTTCATCCTTCACCCACAATGCTCTGATCCACTTGCGCAAATATAAACATTTGTTTCCTAGTTCTGTTTCTACTCACTAGA